GCTCTGGGAGCGGCCACGCTGTCTGGCGCACAGGGCGAGGCACTGCATGAACCCTGCAGAATGGAGCGGGGAGGCCGCCCCAGCCCTCCCGCCGCGCTCTGCTGGGGGAGCTGTGTGCCGGGCCGGGGCCTCCAGCACCAGCAAACGGGATCCTGGCGCGACTCGGGACCCGGAGGAACCCGGGGTCTGGCCGCGCGGACGGAACAGAACGCGCTCGCGGCGGGGCACGCGCGCCCCCTGGCGGCGGAGTCCTGCCAGCACAGCGCCGCCGGGAGACCGGACGGTTTGCTCTGGGCGGGTGGGTCGGGCCCAGCGGAGATGCTCTCGCCAGGGTTCGCGGCGGGGCCTGGGAGTCTGGGAAGCTGGCGGCGTCTCCCAGTGGCTTCCAGGCTTTTCTGTGATGCACAGTAAGATATGATTTTGCAATAACACAGTTTCAGGAAATGCCCCCCTATACGGCCTGATTTATTTTTTATTTTTTATTTTTTTTTTTAATTCTACTCTGTTCCTATTTTAAAATGCTCATCAGGAAAAAAAATTTTTTTAATTAAAAAATAAATAAAATTCTGGTCAGATAAATTGATTTAAATTGATTTACTGACTAACAAGTCTCAACTGATAATCTTGGAAACTGTTTTCTACTCCCCTAGATTATCCTCAGGTTTTGGGGTTCGGTTTTTTTTCAGCTGGCAAAGATTATGCTGGAGAAAGAGCACCCAGACAATTCCCAAGCAGTATCATTCTATCACCTTGTGCTGTCGCCAGGGATTCCCCTGCCAGCTCTGATTTCAAGATAAACTGGGCTCAGAGGGGTGAAGACATTTGTCCAAGGCCACACAGGTTGTATGTGGCAGTGCTAGTTTCTGCCTCACTTCTGAAAGATGGAATTCACTAAATGCTCCAAATTTCACTGCTATTAAGTACAGTTTAATTTGATCCTCTCTCCACTTTTGCCAATAAGATGGAACTGCACTGTCCTGCTGGTTTTTTATTCTGTGTAATGTAGATTAATGACATTCCAGAACTCCTGCTTAAAAACTCAAGTCTTGGGGTGCCTGGGTTGCTCAGTCGGTTAAGCATCTGCCTTCAGCTCAGACCATGATCTCAGGGTCCTGGGATCAAGTCCCGCATTGGGCTCCCTGCTCAGCGGGTTGCCTGCTTCTCTCTCTCCCTCTGCAGTTCCCCTGCTTGTTCTGCCTCAAATAAATAATTTTTTTTAATGCGAATCTCTGTATGGAACAGAGTGAATCTAAGATGGCAATCTTTGTTGAGGTGACAACCCATAGCACCACTAGCATCTCCAACACCAACACTTTCACCACCAATACCATCACCATATTTCCTTCTCTGTCACCACTGGCTCATCAGCATGACCATCACCATAACTGCCAACCACATCACTATGCTCACTCTCACTAGCCCCACCACCGCTGTTACCAGCAGGACTATTAGCATGGTTCCCAATGTCACTACCATCACCACCACCACCATGAAAATGCCCCGCACCTCAAACAGCATTCAGGAAGCCACTCATTTTGTCACCTAGTGACAGCCTTGGCCCAGCAAGCCTGCATTCTCCATCCCTCTCTCCACCCAGGGCCAAAGGGAATGTGACTGTGACATTGAGGGCAGTGCTTCCTTCTTGGCAACCAAGAGCCAAGTTTGATTCGCCAACCAAGAACCGGTTTGATTCTCTGACTTCTCTGTAAGTGGCTTTGGATGTATTCTGGGCTTGTTGCCTCACAGTGACCATCTACAAATGGCGAGCCCAGCCTTGGACCATGGGAAAGGCAGAAGAGGGTCTGTTCAGTGTAGGGCTAGGACCCTTGAGGGGTTGAGAGTTGGGTTCAGCCTGAATCCCTCCTGCTAGAGTGGCTCATGAGACCTTTGGAGGAGGAGGCCCTGAGGGCGTGGGATCACTGTGTTCACTGTTCTGTCTTCAGGAAGATAGAGGAAGTCATTGTAGATGGCAGGTAGGGCAAGTAGTCATGACTTTTCTTCACACCAAGATGTGACTCCCTGCGTCCCAAATGTAAGCTTTGCTTCCAGAAGCCAGGGGAGCTGCTATTCCCTTCTCCTTCCTGAAATATCAGCTTTTAAATTTCTTATTCACTGTTCTGTCCCCAGAAGCTACTACAATGTATGGCACATAGTATGCACTCAATTTGTCAAACTAATGGGGGAAGAGGGAGATGGCCTCTTTCCTGCAACTGTAGAGAAAAATATAGTATTTTTTATCATAAAGTTAATTCAAAGGATCTGAGTTGAAAATGTGTAAAGAGGAAAACTTTTACAAAAATACGAATTTTTTCTGGTGCACTAGAGAGATTGCAGAAATTAGTAATTTGCTCCAACTTGCCCTGTTCCTTATTAATATTACTCAGAAGCAACATCAACAGTGTTTTCTGGGATGCTAAAAACTATAGAAATTGTGGTCATGTCCAGTAGCTGTTCCCTCTGGAAGATTTTCACCTGGATGAGTGGTCTTACTGGATTATTTGCAGCCTGGCTGACTTCCTGCATGCAGACTCTGCAAATGCAAGTAAGCTTTCTCATCAGATCAGAAGATCAATAGCCCTTTCCTCTTTTCACATATGCATGTGGAAAATTAAATCCCATGACTCTGATGGATTAATTATTTTACAAATTAAACTAGTGAGCCTGCCTTGAGTTACATGGCGCCAGATCAAGCACAGCAGAACTTCCGGGATGGGTGAGCATGGAAGGTGGCGACCCCTGTTGGCTGTCCAGACAACACGGGCCCCCTGCCAAGCTTGTTCATTCCAAAACAGGAATTTTCTTTTAAAGTCTGAAAGGTACACCAAAATACTCTACAAAGGTTTGAATTAAGACAGAACCTGGGGTACCCAGGTGGCTCAGTGGTTGAGCGTCTGCCTTTGACTCAGGTCATGATCCTTGGATCCCAGGATCGAGTCCCACATAAGGATCCCCACAGGGAGCCTGCTTCTCCTTCTGCCTATGTCTCTGCCTCTCTCTGTGTGTCTCTCATGAATAAATAAAAGTTTAAAAAAAGAGAGAGAGAGAACCTAATTTCTGTTATTCTACCTCATATTCTCATTTATTCTTTTTTTTTTTTTTTTTAAGTAGGCTCCATGCCAAACATGGAGCTTGAACTCACACCCCTGAGATTAAGAGTGGAGTGCTCTATGGTAGGACCCAGCCAGGCGTTCCTGGGTCCCCAAAAAACTTTTAAATTTTTATGTTTGTTGACTCAGAAAAAAAGTAATATCCTTCCCAGAGTCATCCAGAAAATGTACTCCCATACTGTTCAAATGTTTTTGTTTCTGTTAGGAATTTCTTCGTAAACTTTGTACCTAAAATTCTGTACCAAGAATTCATCACTTGTACAATAACAGAATGATTGCAGCCTCTTAGTCTTGCTATGAAAATATGCATGTATACTTCCATTGACAGAATTTCACCGATTGAGAACACACAGTTTTTTGTCTCTGCCTCTCTCTGTGTGTCTCTCATGAATATTTTTTTAAATCTTAAAAAAAAAAAAAGCCCTCTGTGATCTAGCAAAGAAGCAAAAATGGAGTTTTCCTGCATTGGCATTTTTTTAAGATTATTTATTTGAGAGAGAGTGAGTGAGAGAGAGAATGCAAGCAGGGGGAGCAGCAGAGGGAGAGGGAGAAGCTGACTCTGCTGAACAGGGAGCCTGATGAGGAACTTGATCCCAGGACCCCGGAATCATGACCTGAGCCAAAGGCAGACGCTCAACCACCTGAGCCACCTAGACGTCCCTTAATCCCCATGTTTAGATTTTTTTTTAAGGATCAAGCCAATAAGGTCAATCAAGCACCATCCATTTAAGAGGAGCTGGTTGACCTCCTGGAGGTCAGAGGTCATGATATTCCACTAGAAAGTTCTCCCTGCTCAGTGAGGAGTCTGCTTCTCCCTCTCCTGCCCCTTCTCCTGCTCATGTTCTCTCTCTCTCTCTAAATCTTTTTTTAAAAAGTCTTCCAGGCGTGAACTATTATCAACCTATTTTAAGGAGAACGAGACCCAGAGTATTACCTTCCTTGATTAGAAAGGTGGATGATGGATTATCCATCTGGATTTGGCCAGATTAAATTAAACAGGGCATTCAGGAGGACCGGAAAGAGTGACCCCTGCTGTTCTAATCCTCCTCCCTCCCAAACCGCCCACAGCAGGAAGAGGACAGTCGGCTTTATCTCTGTGACTCTGGCGTCAGGGAGGGCCTCAAATACTCTTCCTTCTCTCCTTCCAGGCACACTGACAGATTGCATGTCCCACCACCCCTCCCCTTTGAAGTTGTGCATCATCGAATGACCTACTTGAGTCAACAAATGTGAGTGGAAGTGACATGTGTCATATCCAGATAGAAGCTGTAAGAGTCATTACAGCTTTGCCATTTTCTCTCCTTCCTTGTCACAAAGAATTGACAACACTCTGGAGAGATGCTCTTCCATTGGCCTGGGTCACAAGGATGATGTAGAGCAGAGCCCTGAGGTGACCACAAAAGACCAGTTACACGGGCAAGTAATTAACCTTTGCTGCATTAGGCCACTGAGATCCTGGGCTTGTTTGTTACTGTAGCATAACCCAGCCTATCCTGACTGATACATCCTAGTTTTCAGTAGAGCCTGAAATGTGGTGGTCTCAAAAAAAAAAAAAATAGGGTCACCTGGGTGGATCAGTCAGTTGAGCATCTGACTCTTGGTTTCGGCTCAGGTCTTGATCTCAGGGTCGTGTGATCAAGCCCCATGTTGGGCTCCCTGTTTAGCAGGGAGTCTGCCTGAAGATTCTCTGTCCCACCCCACTCACTCACACACTCTCTCTCTGTGTGTGTGTGTGTGTTTCTCTAAAATAAAAAATGACTCTTGAGTGAATGAATGAATGAGTGGCAAGGAATAGGGACAAGGTCATAAATTTCTGGGCCGGAGGCAGAGGAAACAGCCAAGTCTCAAGCTTGCTCTGTCACATATACACTTGGAACCAGGCTGGGGTAAAAATCAGGCTCTAACCTTTATTTCCTAAGGTCACAGCTCATGCTGACCCTGACATCACTGCTCCAATTCCTCCCCCACTACTCAGCCATACTGAGGGCTCCTGCGGAGCACGAGGAATGAGGAGCTATAGAGACAGGGATATGAGGTACAAGGAGAGCCTGAGTCTGGGAAAGGGGATTCGAAGTGTGGAAGCAGAAACAGGAGGCAGGGAGACAATGGGAGGGCTTAGTACAGAGCTGGGGAGAGAGAGGGGGTTGCAGGACAGAAACACATGAACGAGAAGCCGGGAGAACAGGGACTGAGAGAGACGCAGGGAAAGGAGGGTTGGAATAGAAAGGGACCAGGAGACAGCAGAGGACATAGTGAGGGGTGGGTGGAAGCAGATGGGGATGTGGTGCAGGGTGGGTGCAGACAGATATGGTGCTAGACTCACAGAGGCCCAACACCGGGAGAGAAATGGAGAGTCACGGGCCAATCTTGAGGCAGAGATGCCGAGATGGCCATCCAGAAGCCCCAGGCAGAGTGGGCGCCCTAGTCTTTGCTGGTGGTGGAGCCCGGGTCGGTGCTGGAGGTGGGGCCGGGGCTGGAGACCTGGCCTCTGCTGGAGCCGAGGCCTCCACTTGATTCCGACCCGGTGCCTCTGCTGTCCGCACCTGAATGGCTTTCGTGGCCTCTGCTGGATCTCAAGTACCCAGTGGACCCCAGGTAGCTCGTAGAGCTGGGGGTCCTGAAGGTCACGCGGCCTCCCGTAGAGGCCCGGCTGGAGAGTGGGGCTCCCTTGGCACTGGTAGAACCGAAAGTCACATGGCCCGTGCTGGAGCTGGGCTCACCAAAGGTGACACGGCCGACATTGGAGCTGGTGGCTCGGCCTCCACTGGATGCCAGGATGGACCCAGGGATGGCATTGGGGCTCCTAGCAATCACCGTGGGTGTCCCCGAGGTGACTCTCTGGGTACCAGAGATGCTGGGGACACTCAGGGAGCTGTCCGCCTTCCTCACGGCCTCAGCCAATTCCTTCAGCTGCTGCTCCCGGGCCAGCTCTCGCACCTCCAGCTGCGGCAGGAGGCAAGTTAGGGTCCCAGAGAAGGGCTGAGGGCCTGCCCCAAACCCAGCAGGCTCCCATCCTCACCAACTTCGTCACTTGGTTCTGCAGCTCTTCTTTGCTCATAGGATAGTCATCTTTGGCCTCAAAGCCTGGGGTGTCCTCCCTATTGTGGGGTGGGGGTGGAGGAGACAGGAAGGGGGGACACTTTCAGCCACAAAAGGCTGATGGCTGCTCACTGCTCTACCCAGAAACCTTAGCCAGGCTCTGGCCAGCCTGAGGGCCTTTTGCTTTTCCCATCCGCCTGGGGCCAGTTCAGTCCCCTGGAGCTCCTACTCCTTCCAGTCCCCCCACATCACCCACTCCCACCTTGTACTCTCCCCATAGCCACACCCACCCTCTGGTACCCAAGAGCCCCCCTCCAAACCCTCCATCTCATTCATTGCCCCCTTGGCCCCCACACAATCTCCTTCCCCTGCTCCTCCTTCCGGCCCTGTGCCTCACTGATTGTCAGGGAGCTGAGGCAGTGCCATCTTCTTTGGAAGGTCCTCTGGGCTCTGGCCCAGAACCAGGAGGGCAGCGTTAGCCAAGCTGGGGGAGGTGTAGCTCTGTAGGATGGATAAACCAGCTGTGGATAAATCAGCTCATCTCCAAGGCCCTGGCCTCCAAGATTCTGGCTCCCTGAACCACCCCCCAGACCCCCTGACTTCTGCACCTCCACCTGAACATCTAGGTAGGCCTGTACTGTCAGGAGTTCCACCAGTCGCTTCTCGATGAGACCCAGGAAGAGGCCTATGTCCTGGTCTCGCATGTGGGTCTTGACCCCCAGCAGGTCTTGGATGATGGTGCTGTCACACTGTGCCTTAGTGAAGAGCTCCTGAATATCTGAGGTCAGAGGAGACAGGCTGTCACAGACTCAGCGTCTGCTGGACGCCCCCCTCTCCTGCCCTGGAGTCTCAGCTGCCCAATCGATGGAGCCAATAAGCAAGGCTCCCAGGTGGAAAGCCACTTGCCTGAGGTCAGCCAGCCAGACAGTAGGAGAACATTGCTGTGGCCATGGGGCTCATAACCACAGAAGGCAAAGAGTGAGGGGGGTCAAAGGGAAAGCAGACAAAGGCATCACCAGCTGAAGGACGTCTTCACGCAGCTCAGTCCGAAGCCTTGACTTCCATCCCACCCCACCACCCCACATCGCTGGATCTCCCCAGAGAAGAACTCACACAGGTGCTCCACCGGAGAGCTCAGAGGACATTAATGGCACCACCCAGGCTATCTTCTCTGTTGTTCTTTTAATACTGGACTCTGCTGCACCCAACTGGGTTAACCATGGCCCTTGGCTGGCCCACCAGCCACTGTCATGACCCACTGTTGTCTCTCCCAGCTGGCCCATGCACTTATAGCTAGCTATTATTTAAGTGGAACTAGCTATTGTTAGTGACATTAGAAGGCACCCATTACCTTGACACAAATCTGTAGCCCATGGCACTACGTCTCCACCACTTGTCCTGGAGCCACCTCCACCTGAGCTCTAGGCTCATATATAGTTTGCTCCTGGGGTCCCTCCCTGAACATCCCCCCACAGTGCTCACACTGGGCTTGGGGGCATCCCCAAACCCACTCCTTCTTCCAAGTTCCCTATCTCATGGAGGGGCCTTACCCTCCCTTCCCAGCCCAGACCCTGTGCTCCTCATTCCTCCCCCCACTACCCATCCATCCAATACCTCTGGGCCCTGTCCCCTCCTTTCCATCCTCCTCCCCCAACCCCCTGTCCACAGCCTCTCCTGCTCAGAGCCCTCCCATGGCTTCCCAGTACCCCAGCCTGGCACCTCTTCAGAACTCACTGCCCTTCACCTCCCACTCACACCCTTGCACTCCTTCTCCACACAAAGCCCATATCCCTAAAGTACCTCCAGCCCTTGGACCCACCTGCTGGGAGTACCACCCACCCCCAGCTTTTCAGTTAAATACTCATCCTTCAAAATCAGCCTCAAGCATCACTGCTTCCAGGAAGCTTTCAGCCACCCCAGCAGCACTGGTTTCCGCAAGCAGCAGGAGCAGTGGCTCTAGGCCCCTGCACTCAGAAGGGCCTTGCCTTGGGCTTGGTGCTCTGCTGTGGCCATCTTGGTCAACAAGGGGCCCCACCTTTTCATTCTATACCTGGCCCAGCAAATTACGGCAGAGTTGAGGCTCCCACAGGGTCCTCCATCCTAGCCCCTGGGATTGTTGTGAGTATCCAGCGCCCATGCTAGTCTCCTCTAAGTCTCCCTGCCCTTAAGGCCCTCCTCACTTAGCACAAGACGTGGTGCAGTGGTCACGGTCCAAGGTCGTGGTCATGATCAGGACAGAGAAAAGGAGGATCTGCCGGCACAGGGCTCATACTGTGACCATGAGATGGCTCCTCTACTTGCTCGCCAGCACCCTGGCCACCTTCTTAGCTTCCCATCAATCAGCCCATCCAAGTCTCATGACAACCCACAAACTACTTATGCACTGCCATCCCCCTTCCAGAGAGGCTGGGGCCCAGGAGACCACACACCAAGGTTCCCAAGTGATAGAGCTGGCTTCAAATCCAGGGCAGCCTGACTCTTGAGCGCTCTACAGCAGAAGGATGGGAGGATGGATGGATGGATGGATGGATGGATGGATGGATGGATATGGGATGGATGGATATGGGATGGACAGATAAAACAGCACACAAAGTTACTGTGGAAGATCTCCCTGTGGCCAGCTGGGAGACCAGCTCTCCGGGTGGCTCATCGCATCCTCCCACATGAAACAGCTGGACCAGGCACTCACCCGTCTTGAGCTTCTCCAGCTGTCTCCGAAGGTCCTGGAAGCGAGCCTCTACCCTGAGGGCCTCCTCGCGCACCTCATCGGTGCGCTGCTGCAAGTCCCTCCGTTGCTGCTCTTCCTGCTCTTGCCGGTTACCCTCCCTGGTTCGCATGCTCCCCAGGGCCTCCTGCATCTGTGGGGCAAGTGCCCATTGCCAGGGGTAGCTCCGGGAGGGGGGTGGCTACAGGAGGAGGAGAGGGGGACAGGAGAGGGCAAGGGAAGGGGGGCCTCACTCACTCACCTCCTTGATCTCCTCCTGCAGGTGCTCCAGCTCCGAGTTCTGCTCATTGATGAAGGTGAACTCTGCGAAGTTACGCTCCTCCACTAGAGAGAGGAGGGAGAGGCAGGTCCAGGGAGCCAGAGACAGAGGGCCCACGGGACGGGAAAGAGAGGTGTCGAGAAAGACAACACAGACACCAACGGAGACAGAGAGGGAGACCCAGAGGTGCAGAAAGCTGGGGTGGGGCACCCAGGAATGCAGAGCGAATCAGAGTAAGAGCAACAGAGGGCGGCAAAGTCAAGAGAGACTCAGAAGTGTGAGACACAGAGACCCGGAGGAAGAGAGGAGAGAGGGAGAGAAAACAGCAGAGGTAGACACAGGTTGAGGGAAGATGTGGAGAGAGACCAAGAGGCTTGGAACCCAGGAGGAGATGGGGCATGCAGAGATACACAGCCAGAAACCAATGGACATAAAGACACACGGAGGGGACTGAGGGGTGCAGGCGGGAGAGAGACACACACAGAAGTTAGGGCTCAGGAGGCCCGAGACAGAGAGCGAGAGAGACCGGATCGGGTCGAGAGGGGCAGAGGCAGGGTGCCCGAAGAGAGGCAAGGAGGGCGCACCTGACACCCCGAGTCTGCAGCACAGGTACGGGGGTCCCCCGGGCCTGAGCAGAGGCCCCGACTGACCGTGTAGGAGCTATCAGCCTGCGCCTGATTGCGGGGAAGGAGGGTGCTGCCCCCCCCTCCCCCGCACCTGAGCCTTCCCGCCAGGCCTCTACTAACTCTCCAGGTACTTCTCCACCAGTAGGTCCGGGTCGCTCTCCCCAGTCAGCTGGGACAGTTTGTTCATGGCATCCTCGCAGCGCATCACCAGCTTCTCCTGGGAGGTCTTCCGAAGGCCTTCGGCCACCTCCCGGGCTGGGGGCAGAGGGGTGATGAGGTCGGCGGCGCCCCCCCAGGGGCGCCCGGGGGCGCTTAGGGGCCCGGGTGGGCTGAGCAGAGATCGTGCGAGCCCACCCGCTCCGCCCTGGGAGACTCCAAGCCTCGCCCCGCTCCGCCCCGCGGCGCGTGCGGCCTGGCCCTGGCCGCGGGGCTGCAGAGGCCGCGGCTCCAGCCTCACCGCGTTTCTCGCGCTTCTCCAGGATGGCGGGGTCCGGCAGCCGATCGTTGTTCTTAAGCTTGAGGAAGCGGTGCAGCTGTTCCAGGTGCGCGATCTGCCGCTGCAGAGTCTGCACCTCGGTGTCGTTCTGGGCCACCTCCTTCTCTGCCCTCTCCCGTAGCAAGCCCATCTTGCTCTTTGCCTCCTCCCTGGGTGGGGGGTGGTGTGGGGGTGTGAACCCAGGGGTCGGGGATACTGGGGATCCGGGTCAGCCTGGGGTCAGCCTGGGGTCCCAGGGCTGCGGCAGAATCAGGTTGCAGTTTTCTCCAGGCCACAAAGGGCAGAAAGCTTTCTAGGTTCCGAGAGGTGAGTCAGGTTAGTTGGGGGGAATCCAGGCCTGGGGGTAGGGGTGCCCTGGGCCATTGAAAGGGACTGATGGCCTGGCCCACAGAGGAGCACTGCCGCAGTGTGGGCACAAGGGCACGCGGGAGCCCGGGGCATGACGGTGTAAGCCATGGAAAAAAGAGGCAGAATGGCCAGGACAGCACAGCTCCACTGCCAGGAAATTCTGGGGCCAGGGAAATCCACTGACACACAAAGAAAACTCCAGCTAACCTGGGAAGAGGGGAAGACACAGTGACTGCTTCATGGGTACCAGCTTCCTTTGGGGTGAGGAGTGTTTTGGACATAGAAGTGAATGTCCTAAATGCCACCGAACGGTACAATTCAATGCGGTGAATTTTGCTACGTGTGTCTTAATGACAAAAAAGGAAGAAATCCCAGTAACCATAAGGTAGATTTGGGCTATCACAAAGGTCATGAGGAGTCATGTGCCATAAGTAAGCAGCAGTCACAAGATAGAAAGAAGATACCAGACAGGATGAATAGGAGGACACAGGAAACCATTGGGAGCAAACGACCAGGGCAGGCGGAAGCTCAGAAAGAAGCAGAGCTGGAGTGAGAGAGAGCAGGGAGCCCCTACCAGCCCCCGAGGCAGAGACAAGCCAATACATGCACAACAGCAAGTGCTTCTGGATTCCACACTACATAACTCCGTCTGAAAGTGACCTGAGATGATCTCTGTCTCTTTCAGCCAATACTGATAAGTAACAATCTACTCTCGGGGCCTGATGCTTCCCCAGCCCCTGGCTCCTGACACCAAGATGGCACCACATGTACCATCTTGATACATTCTCCACACACTCTGAGTGTTAAGTTCCATGAATAGACTGGAGCCAAAGAGGTTATCCATATAACCAATGAATGGGACCTTGCCCAAGGAACTGGAATATCCATGGAGGACAGAGAGGTGTACTTTGTTTAAAAAAAAAAAAGTCTTAACAGTGTATTTCTGGAGTCCTGAACCCTCCTGCAAGGTATGTACGGTACGGTGTGAGCACAGTGCATCCCCAGAAGGCCTTGGTGGCACCCTACCTGACAGTGTAGGCAGCTGCAGAGGAGACCATGAGGGAGCTGACCATGTGTCGCAGAAGCTTGATTTCCTGCAAGAGAACAAAACCAAGGTTCTTCCTACAGCCTCCCCACTGTAGGGCTTTCGTTTAAGGCCCCGTGGCCCCCCTGAAGAACGGGGACTCCTGCTCCTTCCAAATATGTGGACCTTCCCAATGAGCAGTCACCAGAGAAAGGGATCTTACAGGTACCAGGTACAGGAAACCCAAACTGATGAGCTGGAATGCCGCCTCAGAAGGCCTCTCCCAGTAAAACCCTCATCCAAGAACATTCCTAAGAGCATCGACCTAACTTTGTGGACTGGTGCAGAAATTTTTGTGGATTTCATAATGGTGACCACACGGATCTGTTTTCCAGTTCCAAAGAAATGTCTTTGCAGTAGATGGGTAAAAAGGGTTCTTTTGGGAGAAAGAAGGGAGGAAAGTATATATAGTGTGTATGTGTGTGCACATGCATGTGTGTATATATATATTATGTATACAATATACAAATATACACATATATAATGTATACACATGTAGTCATTCATATACATATGTATATAAACACATGTACACACACACACACGGAATGAAGTAGAAGAGATGGAGAGGAAATAGTGTTTCTCTGAGATACCTTCTGGAGTAGTTTTCATTTGGAAACCCCTCTTAAAGGGTTAAATATTCAGGGGCGCCTGGGTGGCTCAGTCAGTTAAGCATCTTCCTTCAGCTCAGGTCATGATCCCGGGGTCTTGGGACTGAGTCCCACTTCGGGTTCCCCAATTGCTTCTCCTTCTTCCCTGCTCCACCCCACTTGTCCCCTCTCTCTCTCTCTCTCTCTCTCTCTCTCTCTCTCTCTCTCTCTCACACACACACACACACACACACACACACACGTGAAAAAAATAAAATAAAATCTTTTAAAAAAATAGAAGCAAATTAACCTAACTGTACTTGCAACAAAAAGACAAGAGCAGGGATCCCTGGGTGGCACAGCGGTTTGGCGCCTGCCTTTGGCCCAGGGCGCGATCCTGGAGACCCTGGATCGAGTCCCACGTCAGGCTCCCGGTGCATGGAGCCTGCTTCTCCCTCTGCCTGTGTCTCTGCCTCTCTCTCTCTCTCTCTGTGACTATCATAAATAAATAAAAATTTTAAAAAATTTTTAAAAAAAAGACAAGAGCACACACAGACAAAAAAAGAAAAAAGGAATTAATTCAAGTGCCTTGTGAATACAATAATTTTGGATGGATAGCTAGATCTCCATACCCTCAGAGGGCAAAACACACTTCATATCTTGAATTCTGCTTCTTAAATTCAGGAGGTGGAGGTACAGTGGTAGCAACTATAGACCTCTTTCGTGTACACTGTAGGACTGAGCAAATGAGTAAGTATACCAATGCTACTGAGAGCCAGGCTTCCTACTGTGGGAGAAAGGAACAGTGAAAAGATGAAAATAGGGAATGTTCAGGAATAACCTACCCAGTAAGGCTGGATTGGAATTAGGGGGAATCAATGTGAAATCATGGTTTCATAATATATGTGTGTGTTCCTTAATTGTCTCCAGAGAGAGGGCCTCAAAGCAATGATGCCCTGGTAGCAAAGAGGATGCTAGCAGTACCTGTGTCTTCATTTCTCAAAACCTCCTTCCTACCAGAGGGAACCAGGACTCCTTGGAGAAAGGGCTAATTCCTGGGTAGGGGCAGAACAAGAACAGAAGAACTTGGACTATCTTCCTGTGCCAGAAAGTAAGGAAATGTTCAAAAAGAACCCACAAGGGGTGTCTGGGTGGCTCGGTTGGTTAAGTGTCTGATTCTTGGATTCAGCTCAGGTCCTGCTCTCATGGATCGTGGGACTGAGCCCTGCATCCAGCTCCATGCTCAGTGAGAGTCTGCGTGGATATTCTCTTCCCCTGCCTCATCCCCCTGCTCATGTGCGCATGTGCCCTCTCTCTTTCTCTCTCTCAAATAAATAAATAAATCTTAAAAAAAAAATAACCAACAACCATGGGGCACATCAAAAGCACACAGAAGCCAGCTTGAAGAGCTCCCACTAGCCAAATCTGGGACAAGTTGAACATCATCATGAGTGATGACCACCGCAGAGTGAAATAAAAATCCAGATGCTTACTGATAACACACACATGCACAGGGGAGAATGAAAAGCTCTTCCTTAAAATGCTTCCTTACAAGTATAGGAGAAATGATAGAGGTAGAAAAAAAATCACCATTGGCAGCTAGTGACAATCATTCGGGCAAGATCATTAACGGACACCAAAACAACCGAGTAAAAAGGTGTTGGGGAACAAGATATTTACATGGTCTTCGAGACTCTCCACTTATTCATCACAAAGGGAAAATTGCCCTACAGAAACATGACTGACCAAGGGACCAAAGTCAGTATCACTAGTTATGGGACCAACTGCCATCATGTGCCTCCTACATAATGTGCGCCAAGCATACAACATCCCTTCTGTGATACTCCTCCTAAAATGCGCAACACAAATCTCATTGCGAAGATCAATCAGACAAACCATATTGAGGGACTTCGTACAACACGACGGGCTTCCAAAATATCAAAGTCAGGAAGACAAAGAAGGGCCAAGGGATGGTTCCAGATAAACGGAGCCTGGACAAGCAAAAGCAGTGTGGAACCCTGGCTTGGAGCCCGGAACAGGAAAATCAAATTTGTTATAAAGGACCATCAGAGAACCGTAAACAGGGACTATTCAGAATTGTAATAACATTGGGGCACCTGGGTGGCTCAGTGGTTGAGTGCCTTCGGCTCAGGTCATGATTCCAGGGTCCTGGGATGGAGTTCCACATCAGGCTCCCTGCTTAGCAAGGAATCTGCTTCTCCCTCTCCCTCTGCTCCTCCTCCTGCTTGTGCGCTCTCTCTCTCTCTCTCTCTCTCTCTCTCTCTCTCTCAAACAAATAAATAAATAAAATTTAAAAAAAAAATAAGAATAAAATGGTCTTATTCTTAGGACATACACCCTGAAGTTCTTAGGGGTATAATGTCTGCAGTGCGCTCTCAAATAGTTCAGCAATCATAATAATAAATTGTTTTCAGTAAAAAATAATAATTAGAGTGTGTGTGTATATAAATATGGCAGATTATCAGTCTGGGTGAAGGACAGAGTTCCTTGTACTATTCATTCAGGGCAGGGAAAGTAGAGGAGAAAGGGAAGGGTCCTCAAGAGACAGCAAAGGTTCTGGAGATACCCACAGAATGTCACCTGTCTTGCTTGCTCATCCACTGACTGCCCTGGCTGATGATATTCAAAGTGACATCTCTGGCTTCTGCAAGTCTAAACGAGGCTGCTTTCTTTTTAGAGGCAACCTGGAACATTTTCGTGGCCTCCATTCCCTCTGGACCAAAGTAAACCTATGACTCTGGCCGATTCCACATTTGAGGTCAGAGTATTGTTGGTGGTGGGGTAACTCTTGCCTCCTCCTTCCTCTGCCTGGGCTGGGCCAAGGGGTCCCAGGGTTCAGGGCCACTTACCTTCTGCAGCTTGCGATCCACATTCAGATAGCGGCTCCTCTCAATGCGCAGGAGATCCAGCTCCTCCCGCAGGGCCGCATTCCGTACCAGCTGGATGTCAAAGCGACAGGTGACCTAGGGGGCGGGGGGGGGGGGTGGACAGGTACAAAAGTCTGTCTGAGACCCGGCCTATCTCCCTCATCCATGCTCAGCCAAGGAGAGGGCACTTGTGGAACCTGTTCCCAATCTGGGGATCCTTAGAGCATTGTCCAACTGCCCTAAGAACCCAAGCATCAGTCTCCTTTCCTTGGGTTGACCCTCCAGTCCCTCCAGGGTTGTGTCTCCTGATCCTTCTCTGGGAGCCCAGTATTTCAGGCCTGCCTCCCTCCAGGACTCTGGCCTATCATTTCTGGAACTTGACCCCATGCTCAGTTTCCCCTCCAACCCCCAGAGATCAGGTCTGGAAAGAGTCAAGAGGCTGACCCCTCACCCTGTCCAACTGGTCTTCTAGGATTTTGATCCTTCGCTGAATCTTGACCTTCTGATCCAGGATGAGTCCGGAAGGCCTGACATCCTTACTAGGAGCAGAGATCCGGGTCTCCCACTCCTGGATCTGGAGGAAAGAGGATGATACCTATTTGTTGGCTGAGTGTGTGAGAGACTGAGGCACCAAGAGAGGGTGAGTGGCTGAGTGTAGCAGCCATCTGTTCTACCCTTCTTCTGCTAACAACGCTTAGCCTTCCACTGGGTTCTGGCTTCCAAACACAACAAGCCACGCTGCCAGCACGTGACCCAGGCCCCGACAATCACAGTCATTGTCCTAGAGATAGACATGTTAACCCAAGCTGAGCCAGTCTAAATCCCTTCCCAGTATTTTGGGGGAAACACATGAGCTGGATAGATGGGACTCTAGGACTTGGGCTGTCATAATCTGCATCACACGGAGGGTCCTGGGAGGGGGAGGTCAGTAGACAAAGTGGAGACAAGAGACTGAGCAATGGTGAGAATGAGCTCTGAGACCATTAGAAGCCCTAGGTCTGGTTATGCATGAAACCACTTCCAACCTGTCTTCATTTCTGTATTCATCTTTACTTATTTGGGGAATGCTGACTCTCCAATTAAACTGGAAGCTCCACAAGGGCAGATTTTTGACTTTGTGTGCCTAGCACAGAGTAAGTTCTCAATAAAACATGCAGATCAAATGAATACATGAATTGCTTAAGACTATGTTTCCCAGGGGCGCCTGGGTGGCTCACTTGGTTAAGCATCCGACTCTTGATCTCAGCTCAAGTCTTGATCTCAGCGTCCTGAGTTCGAGCCCCATGTTGGGCTCTATGCTGGGTGTGGAGTCAACTTTGAAAGAGCGGAGGGGGCGCCTAGGTGGCTCTGTAATTGAGCGTCTGCCTTTAGCTCAGGTCATGATCCCAGGATCCTGGGATCAAGTCCTGCATCAGGCCTGGATGGAGGGAGTAGGGAGCCTGCTTCTCCCTCTGCCTATGTTTCTGCCTCTCTCTGTGTGTCTCTCATGAATAAATAAATAAAATATTTTAAAATAAAATAAATTTTAAAAAATTTTTAAAAAGACTGCATTTCTCAATTTGTGTGCCATTATGGGTTGGATAGTGTCCCCGCCCCCTGCCTCCTGCAAATTTATATGTTTAAGCATTAATCGACTTCAGAATGTGGCCTTATTTGGAGACAGGGTCTTTACAGAGATAATCAAGTTAAGATGAGGTCATTAGGGTGAGCCCTGATCCAATAAGACCAGTGTCCTTATGCAAATGGAAAATTTGAACACAGACACACACATAGGGAAAATGCCTCCCTGCCAATGGTTGCTCCATGTTGGACTCCTAGCCTCCAAAACAGTGGAATAATAAATTCCTTCATTTAAGCCACCCAAAGTTTGTGGTACTTTGTTACAGCATCCCCTAGAAAACCAACACATGCACGCAGGCACCCCAGAGCATCACAGCGAACTCAAAGGGAACACCATGGGGATATTTTAAGTCTTGAGGGAGACACACAGGACATGGGTCAGACATCCCATGAGCTACACGTTCAAGACAGTTCACAGGTTCAACACAAGACAGCGCTGTGTTCCTTTTGATGAGTCACATCTTTGTGAAACTGCATTTTTAGCTGTTGCTATGATAAAGAGCCAAATATCCAAAAATGTTACCAGTGGGGGAAACTGGCCAAAGAGTACAAGGAATTTCTTTGATTATTTCTTCCAATTGCATGTGAATCTACAATTATCCCAGTAAAAATTTCAATTAAAAAGGAAGAAAGAAAGAAAAGCAAGTACTGCACAGAAATCAGCATGACTAAGAGTGGTGAGTCCAATCTGACTCCAAGCTCCAAAGGCACAAATATCCCCCAGGTAAGTAATTGTGGTTTTGGAAAATGAAATCCAGTTTTTTTTTTTCTATTTGTGTTTTTTCCCCCAAAATGGCCTCTAGGTTGCTAGGACGAAAGCACTGGTTTATTTAAAGTAGAACTGTTAGCAGTACAAGACTGGACCCTGGGACAGCTCTTAAAAGCTAGCTGATTGTTCCATTTTCAGGAATTATATAAGTTCAATTGTTGGTAGCTTGAAATTAACCACTGTATTTGTTTTTCTATTTCTGCATAACAAATCACCCCAAACTTAGTGGCTTAAAACACCCATCTATGATCTCGAAGTTTCCGTGGGTCAGTTCAGCTAAATCCTCTTTGCAGGGTCTCGCAGAGTTGCAGGGCTGTGGTCTCATCTGGGACTCACCACGTGGTCTCCTGCCAGATGGCCTGTCCAGGGCATGGCAGCTTGCATCTTCAAGGCCAGCCAGAGAGCACCTCTCTTCAGTCTACTAAGGGCCAGTCTTATATAGCACACCTAATGAAGGGAGTGTGACATCCCCTCACGGGTGCTGTATTTTTTTGGCCAGAAGCAAGTCACAGGTTCCGCCCCCACTAATGGGGTGGGTATTAACACAGGGCTGTGACTCACTGGAGGTCACTTTAGGATATGTTCACCACAGCCAAGATGAGAGGACAGGTTTCCCCATTATCTGAAAGTACAGCATTCCTATAAGACCCTTCATAAGCCAAACTGGCATAAAGTGAAGAAGAAATGATCACTAATTTATATGGAAAAAATATATAGCATTCCCCTACCCCCAAAAATAACCTCTCTCAGGCTTTTCTGATACCTTAGGACACATCTTGCTGATGGATGCACAAAATAAACTAAGATAAAGCACAGATGCTCACAGACAGCACAAAGCTCTAGCAGCGGGATGATGCTGACATGCTGAGTATGGGCCCCAGGAAGGAGTTTGTGGGGGGGCACTCTCACCATTCGGGGTGCATGCTGCCTCTAACAGCTCACTGCAAAGCAAATGCTGAAGGCTATGTTCTTTTTTTGCCCCTCCCCTTTTTTTATTTTGTAAAAGTGCAAATGCTCTTCAGATGTCTCTTGCTTAGTGAAATAGGGTACTAAAGCAGGTCTTCTGTAAAAGTGAAGTGGCATAATACGCAATTTCAAAAAACAGGGGATACCTTCATTTGTTATGAAAATCAGCCAATGCTATAAATTGGGGGTGCTTTTTCTTCCTAACCGCCAGCCTTCGTGGCATACCCCCGACTGTCAGAGGTTACTTTGGGGCTAAAAATATTTCTCAGAAATTAAGGGTTCCAAGAACAAGGAAAGTTTAGGACTCCCTTGTTCAAGAAATCCTTCCCAAGGTTAGAAAACACTCTCCTCCGGTTTGTAAAAGTATTCAAATTTTGCTTTTCCCATTTGGGCCTCTAATACAACTAGAACGTATGTTTTTATTTTTTTTAAGATTTTTTATTTATTTATTCATGAGACACAGAAAAAGAGAGAGAGAGGCGGGATACATAGGCAGAGGGAGAAGCAGGTTCCTTGAGGGGAACCCGATGTGGGACTCGATCCTGGCACCCCAGGATCACGCCCTGAGCCAAAGGCAAATGCCCAACCACTGAGCCACCCAGGTGTCCCAGAACTTATGTTTTTAGATGATGTGAGGTAGGAAACTTTTTTGACAGCTTTGCTAAGATACAAATAACATACAATAAAGCCATGTATTTAAAGTACAGTTTGGTAAGTTTGACATCATTGAGATTAGTAAATACATCAATCATCCCTAAAAGTTTCCTCATGTCCCTGTTTCATTCCTTTGGCCACTTGCTTCATGCAGCCTCCTACCACCCACCCCCAGCCCCCACAGTCACCCATGTATTTTCTGTCACTAAGGAGTTTTATAAATGGAGTCACATTTATAAACTAAGGAGTTTTACAAATGGCTGGCTCAGTCAGTAGGACATGTGACTCTTGATCTTGAGGTTGTAAGTTCAAGACCCATGTTGGGTCGTAGAGATTACTTAAAAATATAAATACATACATACACAAATACATAAATAAGTGGAATCACAAAGTACATACTCTTTTTTTTGGGGGGGTGGAGGTCTGACTTCTTTCACCTAGACCAGAAAATTATTTCAAGATTCATTCACATTGTTGGGTTTATCAAGAGCCCTTTCCTTTTTCTTGGTGAGTAGCTTTCCATTGTATGGAATTTGTTTATCCATTCACCTTTTGGTGGGCATTGGGTTGTTTCCATTTTGAATTTTACAAAGCTGTTATGAAGATTCATGTACAATTCTTTGTATGAACATATGCCTCCTTTTGGGGGGGTAAATAGCTAGGAAGTATAATGTCTAACCTATATGGTAGGGTACATTTAGTTTTTTAGAAACTGCCAAACTGGTTTCCCAAGCGTTTGTGCCATTTATATTCCTCCCAGCAGACTAAGAGAATTCCAGTTCTTTCATATCCTCACCAACATTTGGTATCGTCTTTTAAATTTTAGCCATTCTACCGGGTGTGTAGAAGTTTCTCATGATTTTAATTTGCATTCCCTTAATGACTAACACTGTTGGGCATCTTTCACTTGCTTGCTGCCATCTTACATATTTTCTGGTGAAGTGTCTGTTCAAGCCTTTCACTGATTTTTCCTAATTGGATCCTTTGTTTTCTTATTGAGTCTGAAAGTTCTTCATATTTTCTAGATACAAGTTCTTTTTTTTTTTTTAAGATTTGTATTTATTTATTTATTTATTTATTTGAGGGAGAGAGACAGAGATAGCAAGAGAGAGCATGAGTGAGGAGAGGGAGAAGCAGGCTCCCACTGATGCGGAACTCGATCCCAAGGCCCTGGGATCATGACCTGAGCTGAAGATAGCCGCTTAACTGAGCCACTGAAGTGCCCCTAGATACAAGTTCTTTATCAGCTATACATTTTGCAAATATTTTCTTCTATTGTGGGGCTTATTCTCTGAACAACACCTTTTGAAGAGAAGTTTTTAAATTTTATGGAGTTCAGTTTATCAAATGGATCACACTTTTGATGGTGTAGCTAAGAAATCTTTGCCTAACCCAAGCTCACAAAGATTTTCTCTTTTGTTTCTTTCTAGAAGAGAAGCTTTATAATTTTAGATTTTACATTTAGGTCAAGGATAGCCAACATCTTTTTTTTTCTTTAAAAAAAGTCACTGTGCACAGAAAAGTGCACAGATGATGTATCTTTTAAAGATTATTTATTTGAGAGA